ATTCTCTAATGTGGAGAAGAGATTGCTGCTTATTTTGTGCAGTATCTATCTACTTGAATAAAACATTTTGGGAAATACGCACTGCTCCATTTTGGCCACTGTTGCGACTATTTCTCGCGCACGGATACAGATTGAATTAAAAGCAAATCTTGTTACCATATTTTCACACGGTCAACATTTCTAGAAATTTTTGTCGAGATTCGACTGCTACTTACTAAGATCGCTTTCTACCATGAGGTGTAACGTTACGGAAGTTAAGACAGAATAATATCATGAGCCGTCGCTGTAAAATAGCTAATTTTTCTAATACTGGATCCACGCCACATCTCTCCTTGAAATGGGATCGTGCTAATCATACCTTCCTTTTTTGTATATAAATTAGATCTATATTTTTGTTATGATTTAAATTGTGTTTGGTTTCCCTTGTTCAACTTATACTTATTCTAGTTGTTATTATTCAGTTGAATATATTACGCATTCGAATGGATTGTTTTTTTTTTCACTTTATATGTTGTACTATACTATTATATTATCTTTTTTAACTAGACGCAACGTTATCTTTAGTCGTCACCATTTTTTGTCTAATCTAATGAGGTTTATTTAGTATACATACACATTTTTCTATTCTAGAAATTATCGTGAATTATAATTTACAAACACAAGCGATAATGTTAAGTAACATAGATTATTCAAATAGTTTTTGCTTACATAGAGTATAAAACTCAGCTGGAGAAGAAAAAAGGTGGTTCCTAAGTGTTAGTAATGTTATCAAAATGTCAATACTCTACCTCTGCATCTTACCTCACACGTTTATTAATCAGCACATTTTTTCCGCTTTCTTTCATATTTGTTAGGTTAGACTAATCATACAATGAAGTGGAGAATCACTAGCCATCTTTTTATTGTTTTTAATTTAATACTAAAAATACGGCACTAACACATTTATTGACCTTCTCTTCGTTTTTAATAATTTAGATAGGAAATATTTGTTAGTCATGAATCAAAGTCAAGAAGATGATTATCATGACGCATCATCCTATTCATCGTACAGATCTCAAATAACACCAAGAACCATAAATATTCAACGAGCAAGAAATATGGCACCGACGAATGGTGTCATGACTCGTATGATTCAGTCTTATACGTCACATGGAACGAGTTTTGGCGCATTTGGTTCAGGAGGATTGGCCAGTCTAGCTAATTTTGGAACAGGTATTCCGTTGAAATCGGGACGTGCAGGATTAGCATTCGTGGATATTAACGATGCCAGAGAGCGAGAAAAACGAGCTTTGGCTGAATTAAATGATAAATTTGCACAATATGTTGAAAAAGTTCGTTTTCTCGAAGCTCAAAATCGTAAATTACAAATGGAGTTAGAGGCCTTACAAAATCGTTCCGGTCACGGTTCATCAAGAATTAAAGAAATGTATGACGTTGAGCTTGCAGAAGCGAGAAAACTAATCGATGACACAACAAAAGATTGTGCAGCAAGCGACATCAAAGCCCAAAAAGCAATACATGATGTGGCACGATATAAACAACGATATGGGGAAGTACTGAGTTCACAAAACGCTGATCGATTACGTATTGACCGTCTACACCAACAAATAGCTGAAAATGTAGCAGTATGTAGTGATTAAAAACTTGTAAGTTGGAGTGAAAACTATATCATTTTATTTTTAGCAAATAGAGTTATTTCGTCGACGGTTAACTGATTTAGACGATGAAATGAGACGGTATAAAGCCGAAACTCAACGTCTTACATCGGAGATTGCACGACTACAAAACGAAATACAACAAGAAACTTTCTTCAGAACAACGTTGGAGGGTGAAAAACTGGGTCTCGAAGATGAAATAACAACTTTGAAAGATATGCGTGAGTAATCTTGGCTATTTTAACATTTATTCTTGCGTCGCGATTGAAATGTTAACATTGTGCTAAAAAAAAAAGGCGTCTTAAATACGACACCATAAGTTGGCTGACTATTAGTCGCATATATGGGTCTTAAAATAAGACGGATAGAAGCGTCTTAATTTAAGACTCATATATACGACCAATCATCAACCGACTTACAGTGTCTTGTTGTAAGACCGATGACTTTATCTATCTTATTTTCTATAACAGGTGGAATTTAAAAAGATCACGCATGCTCTAATTTCATTAGAATGGGCCAGTACTTTTGGTCTGGTTATTGACAATACGTCATACGGGGAAAATGAAAAAATTCCTGATGTATTTTCATTAAGTTTTCTGTTCTGTATATACAAATGGTGAATGCGAAACAAAAGAGGTGAATACTCGTCCTTTAGACGAGAAAAATAAGACCTTTTTCGTCTCACATACGACTAAGATAAACTCTAGGATGCAGACGCTTAAAGAAATTCATTCAAAGCATTTCGTTAAAGTTATGGGTGTAACTTTTGAAAGTGTACTAGAGTTTACATCGACTTTAACTCAACAGTTCGAAAGTAACAGGACTAGCACAACTCCAGCTCCTAATGACGAATATCACCTTTAAAACTTTTTAAAACAACGGCATTGTGGCCTTCTAGACCAACGG